GCATCGTGCCAATCAGGCACCTCCTTAGCCACTGGTCCCGCCTCCTCCTGATCTCAGCCAATCACCAGAGATTCAATCAAGACAGAAAATGAAAGTCATTAAATATTAATCACCGTAAGATTCTTATGCAAGTTAAATGTAGAACTGCAGGAATGAGTCCTGAGAACCAGACGTGAGTCAGAATTAGTCACTTCCTGTTACATCATCCAGTTTGTGTAAAAGCCTTAAAGCTGCATTCCCTCCGGTGAGCACCAGGGGGCGACTCCTCCGGACTACTTCTCTCTGGGGTTATTCCCTCATTATTTGCTTTTAAAACAACATGATACCACGGTTATAATATATAGAAACACATGAATAGATTTGTACATTTGTTTACACACATTAAAGCTCACAGTCATGTGATGTGACATCACTTACTGCGCTGACGAATCCGCTTGCCACCGCCGCGCTCTCCACCCCCTCCACCGCGGCCTGGGCGACCTCGTTGGCCCCGGCAACCGCTGTGTCAGCAACAACGTCCACCTGTTCGTTGGACTTCTGAGCGACTGGACGTCAGGAAAGAAAAATAGAAAAGAACTAATCAGATGTTCTTCTGTACTTCAGTAAGAACTGTATGAAGATTCCTGTTGAAATGTTTGGATTATTGCTCAGTAATTGTTGATAGAAGAGGTCTAAACTGTGATGAGATCCGCTGATGTTCCAACAGTAACTCAGGCTAACCTTCTGTTTAACTTCTTTAATCCTAAAGTTAACTACAGGATTATGTTATTGTGAAACTATTTTGTTCTGTTCCTAATCGTTCTTTGAGGCTGATTTATTCTCTCTGAGGATCTTTGTCTCTTTTAGTTCAACCATCTTTCTACTGAAACAAAATAAAAGCATCATCTAAAGTGAAGAACGGAGCATGTCACACGTCCCCTGCTGGTCTGGCTGCTAGTTAGCGTGAAGACGTTACCTGTGTTGACCCCGGTCGCCACTCCCTCCATCGTCTTGTTTCCTGGGAAAGAGACCAAGTGTCACCAATACTTCCTCTTTCTCTGTTTGATGGGTCACTTGGGTCACCGCGTCATTACGCCGGGAACGTTCAGCAGAACTTAACTTCACGTTCACTGTAAAGGGTTCTTATGTGTATAAATAAAACAGACCCGGGTCAGAGTTGGTTTAAAAAAGCTTTGGTCCGCGTCACCCAGCGGCCACTCTGCTCTGTGATGATGTCGTTCTTTATCGACTACTCCCATTGGCTCTCGCTTGGGACACAAGTGTCTTTGTTCTTTGGATTATCTGGTGGACTTCAGTTCTGCTGGTTTGGTTCATTGTGAGAAGGACTTGGATGCTTCTCTCGGTGGGCGTCGTGCCGGTCGGACATGTGACGGATCCCAATGAACAGACTCTTTGTCTGAGTGAACACAGTAAACAAGTAAACAAGTACAGAAACACTCAGGAGGTTCTGCTGCACACTGAGTCACAGGAAGCTCAGTAGAAGCTCAGATGAAGCATATTTGATGACCCTGCAGGTTTTATCTCTTCTATGCGTCTTGTCTCCAACACAAGGGACTGTGTGTCAGAGGAATTATAATCAATGCACAATTATCATGATGTAATAACTGTTCTTATAATGGTTCTTATCTACAGCAAGTTGTAAACTGGCTTATTTGATGAAATCACACTTTCTTGTTTCTTGGTTGAAATGTTCTTATTGTAAGTCACTTTGGATAAAAGCGTCAGATAAGTGACATGTGATGTAATCTGTAATCTTTGAAAAATGTCCATGAGCTGCACGGGACACACAAACACACACAGTTTCTTCTTCTCTGGTCTCTGATCAGCAGCCAGAGCAGAATTAATAAACTGTCATAAAATAAGTTTGATTAATGAAGTGATTTCAGACCAGATGAAAAGTACAATGGTACATAGGAACATTATTACTCCTTCCAAGAGTATTTATACACTGTGGTATTAGTACTCTTAATCCAACAGCGTATTTATACACTGTGGTATTAGTACTCTTAATCCAACAGCGTATTTATACACTGTGGTATTAGTACTCTTAATCCAACAGCGTATTTATTAGTATTAGTACGCTAACATATTAAGTGGAAAGCAGTGATGGCTGTTTATGTCGTCACTTCCTGTTTGGCCTCAAGGTGGCGCTGTTAAATCCTCAACCTCAAATGCAGGGCTTCAGCTGAGTAGCTCCACCCACTCCTCCACCCACCCCTTCATCCCTCCACCCTTCCTTCCATTCCTCCATCGCTCCACCTGTACTCCACCAAAAAGATTGGATAAATGTTGTAAACTTTTGCCAGTTCTCTCTCACGGCTGCTCCTTCATTTCTCACCTTCTTCTTCCATCTCAAGTTTTGCTTTAAAATAAATGCAGTGTGATGTTTCCCCTTTCATGCATCCATCCGTCCATCCATCCATCCATCCGTCCATCCATTCATCATCCATCATCCATCCATCTGTCCATCCATCCATCAATTATCGGTCATCATCCATCCATCCGTCCGTCCGCGCATCCATCCGTCCATCCATCTGTCCATCCATCCATCATCCATCCATCCATCAACCATCTGTCCGTCCATCATCCATCCATCAATCCATCCATCATCCGTCCGTCCATCATCCATCAATCCGTCCATCCATTCATCATCCATCATCCATCCATCCGTCCATCATGCATCCGTCCGTCCATCATCCGTCCATCATCCATCCATCATCCATCCCACCCCTCTCACCCGACATAGAAGACCCCGTCCTTGGTCTTGGAAGCGGCTCCCCCGACGCCAGCCTTGGTCCTTCTCGGCGGCGGACACCACGCCGTCCTTGGCCATGCAGAGTCCTTTCTTCAGAGCGTCCATGATGCGTTGCTGCTTCTTCTTCTCCCTCGGCTCCGTCTGCCTCAGTCGACTGTTCTTCTCGTCTGTCGGGATCTCTTCTTCCTGCTAATGGACAGGAGGAGGGACGGGGGGACGGGGGGACGGGGTGGAGCATGTGAGACAGAGAGGGGGGGAAGTAACACGATACTCTTAGAGGGACGGGGAGAGAAAAAGACAGAAACAAGTAGATGAGGAGAAGAGAAAAGTGCAATTAGCATTTTAGTTAAAATATCAGAAAAAACCTCGAGATAGAAAGACAACTGATATCTGTAGTTTATACATCACAATATACAAGAAATACTAGGGGAGGAATGTTGGTAAAACATCCAAAATATCACTCTAGTCTCACAAACAATTACATAATACCAGTATAATATACACAGATATGTTGGTAAGTACAGTGAGTCCTCATTATACTTTAATGAATTATATATGAAGTACTTCTACCAAGTAAGTTTAATGACGACAATCCCGCTGACTCCTCCTCCTTGTACTGCAACAACTAGTGAGCCCCTCCCCCCTCCACCCGCCTCCCCTCCACCCTGACAGCAACTTGAATATGACTCAGCACAACACACACACACACACACACACACACTAACACACACACACTAACACACACACACCACACACACACACTAACACACACACACACACACACACACCTCATTCTCTGATTGGCGAAGCGCCGTCATCTATTTTTAGACCCCATTTATTTAACCTTCTTTCCAGGATGGATGAGGGGGGGGGGGGCGGGTTGGTCTAATGGACATCAGTGTCTTCTGCATCAGCACACTGATCAATACCGCCCAACAAACTGCTCACAGACCCACAACACACACACACACACACTACACACAGCTGCCTCATTAAAAGAGCTCAGCTGCCTATTAGCAGACAGTGAGGCATCTCCCTCCCAGGTGTGTGGGCATGAGTTCATCGTGATCCTATGAGAGGTGACCTCCACACTCATGACCGGCTGACACAGCAAGTGGTGGGGGGGTGTGTGTGTGTGTGTGTGTGTGTGAGTATCTGACTCAGTGACCCGTGGAAAGGACTTTTTGTTCACTGATGACGCTCAGAGTCAGAAAGTGTCTCCACGTCCCAGTAACTCGTTCAGTCTCAGCCGTCTGCTGGATGAACATCACACAGCTGCGCCCTCGCCTGCTCCTCCACATGAATCCAGCTGCTAATCATCTCCACATGAATCCAGCTGCTAATCATCTCCACATGAATCCAGCTGCTAATCATCTCCACATGAATCCAGCTGCTAATCATCTCCACATGAATCCAGCTGCTAATCATCTCCACATGAATCCAGCTGCTAATCATCTCCACATGAATCCAGCTGCTAATCATCTCCACATGAATCCAGCTGCTAATCATCTGCTCAGGAAGGAGCATCTAGAGAGGCAAAAATGAGACGACAAAACAGCACCAGTTTACCACGTCTCTCCGTCTTCATGTCCTGGACTGGTTCTCCACCAGTTGGCTTTAGCAAGAGTCACCATCACTGCTGGAGATAGAAAACCTCCACAACATGAATCCTAAAAACATTCAAATGCTTTTTTTTTTTTAATTGAACATCTCATTTTGACCTTTTGACCTCCTCAGGAGGCCGGATGAACAGGAAGTCCTTACAGTGGTCAGTCACAGTAGTCCTGATGTTCTAGCACCAAACGACATTATAATGTCGTATTATTGCTGTTGGAAGAGCACTGAGGCATCTTAGAGCCTTACAGAAGAATTATATTTATTATATATTCACCCGCCTTGGAATCTTCTACATCTCGTCATGATGTAAACACGGATTCATATGGATTTTATTTAATAGACCAACACAAAATAATCAGCTTGGAGTCAGGAAAAGTTTACATGGATGTTAAAACGATTTACAAATAAACGTCTGTAAAGCGTTGAGTGCGTTTGTATTCTGCCCTTTACTGTGAAGCAGTCACATGACCAGCAGAAAGGCCTCAGAGGGTTAGAAGCACACACGCACACGCACACACACACACACACACACACACACACACACACACACACACAAACTCTCTAAATGTCACAGAAATAAGTTCAAAGATTCAAAACTCAAAAAAACTAAAATAAGGAGGAAGCAGCATTTTGTGAAATAGTTTTTTTATGATCTTTTTTTTAAGCATTACATGAAGAGGTGGAAATAAAAGCTCGAACTCTCCAGGTAGTGGAGCTGCAGTACCTTTTGCTCAAAGGCACCTCGGCGGTTGCTACTGAGGAAAAATTCTTTTACTTCTGGTAACAAAACGTTTCATAGTTGCATCTTGAAATCTTCAGCAGGTTGAATCTATTGGACACAAAGAGAAAAGAACTGGGGGGTGTCCCCACACGCTGGACCGGAGGGCCAAGGTCAGAGGTCAAAGGTCAAATGAAGACGTCAGAGTTCGCAGGCAGACCTGAAGAAACTAACGGAAAAGTCTGAAATAAAAACAAACTTCTTCGTCATTGGTTTGAATCTCCTCTTCAAGGAGAGTAGCACCATCCAGCGACCAACCGCTGGAAACATCTGGACGTGGTTGGTGACCACGGGACGGACCCGAGGAGACGGCCCGGCGCCTACCGGCGCGGCAGCAGTCGGGAGTGTCGGGGCACCGAGGAGGCCGGGGAGCAGGGCGACACGGAGGCCAAGGAGACGGAGGCAGCGGCGTCCTCGGCCTCCTCCAGCTCGCCCCCGTGGAGCTCCTGGCTCACGCTGGACTGCAGGGCGGCCGGCGTCAGCCACTCTTTGGGCAGGCAGCTCTGCAGGAAGGGCACGCAGGAGCTGAAGTAGGCCAGGCGGTTGACCCAGCGGGGGATCTCCCTGCCACACAGGGTCTGAGGGGCGCAGAAAACCACCCGTTTAGAACCACAGACTGACAGCTGAAGCCCTCCGAAGCCCCTGAGGAATCACAGCGAGACCTCGGGGAAAAGCAACTAGAAGAAAGATGAAATTCGCCTCGAAAATACTTCACAAATAAATTGTTCGTTTTAACCAGATTCTGTAAAAACATTCAGTTCTCAGCTTCATGTGGAACCGATTGATTCCCCAACAGTCGTGTGACGACACGGAGCCGAGGGTCGTAACACACGAACATGCAGAGCTTCCGCTCAGTGAAAGGACTCATCTCACCTGGAGCAGCTGATCATGTGTCATTTTAGAGGAATCTTCTTATTGAAAGAAACAGCCGTACGTGTGTGTGTGTGTGTGTGTGTGTCTGCATATATAATGTCTGTGTTTGTGTAGCGTATGGTGTGTGTGTGTGTGTGTCTGCATATATAATGTCTGTGTTTGTGTAGCGTATGGTGTGTGTGTGTTGGCCAGCTGGCGCCTGCATGCTTGGGCTTGTGTATCTTAATCCCTTAATCTCAGTGCTGGATGCCGGTGAGACTCGTTAGTCTCACCGGGATAAGATGATTACACACACACACACACACACACACACACACACACACACACACACACACACTTTCCTGTCCAGGCAACGCGGTGAGGTCCAGAGTCGTTCGCAGTGCGGACGCCTTCTGTCATACATTCATTTAGCGTGTCACACACACACACACACACACACACTCACACCTCAGCTTCATTTCCACAACAGACCCAAGCGTCATCCTACGGTCCAGCTCCATCGGGGGGAACTTTCGCCGCTGCATGTCTGTGTGTGCATGTCCATGTGTGTGTACATGTGTGTGTGTGTGTGTGTGCATGTCTGTGTGTGTGTGTGCATGTCCATGTCTGTGTGTGTGTGTGTGCATGTCCATGTCTGTGTGTGTGTGTGTGTGCATGTCCATGTCTGTGTGTGTGTGTGTGTGCATGTCCATGTGTGTGTGTGTGCGTGTGTGTACCTCTGACAGCACGGAAGAGAAGTGGTTGCAGTTCTTGTGCATCAGGTGGTAGGCGTTGCCTTTGTACTCCTTCCCCATCTCCTCCACGATGCGCTCCACGTCCTCCTCCGTGAAGTCTGTGCTGCCCAAGACGATGGCTTCTCTACCGGGGGGGACGGGGGGGGGGGCGAGGGGGGGACGGGGTAAATATCACTGCTCACCAGCAAAATACCAAAAAGCACCTCTGGCCATTTCGGTTAAAAACAAACGCCACGTGTGGCGGCCGGCGTTGAATCCGGAGAGGACTAGTCATCCATACTCATAGAGCAGGTAACGTGAGAGGACTAGTCCTCATTACTCATAGAGCAGGTAACGTGAGAGGGACTAGTCATCATTACTCATAGAGCAGGTAACCTGAGAGGACTAGTCATCATTACTCATAGAGCAGGTAACGTGAGAGGACTAGTCATCGTTACTCATAGAGCAGGTAACGTGAGAGGACTAGTCATCGTTACTCATAGAGCAGGTAACGTGAGAGGACTAGTCATCGTTACTCACAGAGCAGGTAACCTGAGAGGACTAGTCATCATTACTCACAGAGCAGGTAACGTGAGAGGACTAGTCATCGTTACTCATAGAGCAGGTAACGTGAGAGGACTAGTCATCGTTACTCACAGAGCAGGTAACGTGAGAGGACTAGTCATCGTTACTCATAGAGCAGGTAACCTGAGAGGACTAGTCATCATTATTCATAGAGCAGGTAACGTGAGAGGACTAGTCATCGTTACTCATAGAGCAGGTAACGTGAGAGGACTAGTCATCATTACTCATAGAGCAGGTAACGTGAGAGGACTAGTCATCGTTACTCACAGAGCAGGTAACGTGAAAGGACTAGTCATCATTACTCATAGAGCAGGTAACGTGAGAGGACTAGTCATCATTACTCATAGAGCAGGTAACGTGAGAGGACTAGTCATCGTTACTCATAGAGCAGGTAACGTGAGAGGACTAGTCATCATTACTCATAGAGCAGGTAACGTGAGAGGACTAGTCATCATTACTCATAGAGCAGGTAACGTGAGAGGACTAGTCATCATTACTCATAGAGCAGGTAACGTGAGAGGACTAGTCATCATTACTCATAGAGCGGGTAACGTGAGAGGACTAGTCGAGAGGACTAGTCATCGTTACTCATAGAGCAGGTAACGTGAGAGGACTAGTCATCGTTACTCATAGAGCAGGTTACCTGAGAGGACTAGTCATCGTTACTCATAAAGCAGGTAACGTGAGAGGACTAGTCATCATTACTCATAGAGCAGGTAACGTGAGAGGACTAGTCATCGTTACTCATAGAGCAGGTAACGTGAGAGGACTAGTCATCGTTACTCATAGAGCAGGTAACCTGAGAGGACTAGTCATCGTTATTCATAGAGCAGGTAACCTGAGACACCTGCAGGGACCTTCTGCTGCTTCTTCAACCGCACAGAGACGTTTCACCTGAAATGCTCCTTCGTTTCCTTCCCACTTACTTGAACCTGAACGTGTCGCCGAGCGCCGTGACGTCGCCGGGCGTGATCTCAAAGATCCCTGAGAACGGGAACGGGTGTCCGCCGTAGGCAAACTCTGGAAACACACAACAACAACAACAACAACGTTTCAGCCGGCGCACGTTTGGAGAAGCTTCCACAGGACGTCACGCCGCTCGCTCACCTCTGCCGTAGATCTCGATCCCCGAGTGGAAGACTCCGATACCCAGAGTGCTGGTGAACTCATTGATCCAGTACTGCAGAAGACACGTTACATTAGTATATATACATCGCTGGACGAAGCAGCGCTGGACGAAGCGGCGCTGGACGAAGCCGGTTAAAAGACGCCACAGAGACGGATCATCCTAAAGAACGAACACACGTCTCATTACAGGAGCCTGTAAAGCACTCAGAGCTGGACGGGAAATCCACTTAGTGGAGACGGCAGCGGGACGGAGGAGGACGAGGAAGAAGACCAGTGTCACATGATCCCATCGATCCGCCGACACAACGGAGCGTTCTCCTTGGACCGACCACTTCCACTACTGTTCATCGCACATTCTCAACTTCTCCATTAGTTCTTATAAATGTTCAAGTACCGACAAAGTACGACATGTTAACAAGAGAGGAGACAAGGGGGGAGGGGACAAGGAGAGAGGAGGTAAGCGAGGAGACAAGGGGGAGGGCCAAGGGAAGAGGAGGTACAAAGGGAGGACAAGGGGAGAGGAGGTAAGAGAGGAGACAAGGGAACAGCAGTGTTGGCTCTGGAGCTAAGCTAGCCGGTCGTTAGCGTTCACTGCTCCGGGCCTCTGATCTCAGGTCTGTGAGCGCGTATTGATTATTGATCACTGATAGATCCAATTGGACGACCACGCTGAACAAAGAGGATCTTGAATGCGTCTTCGGCCTCTTCTGTACCGAATCGATTAAAAGGCTGTTCTACGGTGCATTGGTGGCTCTGTGTCAATCAGCGGGTCTCGCGTCCACGTGAGGGTCAGAGGGCGAGATGAGTCCTGGTCATCCAGTCCGGGTGATGGAGAACCAGTCCAGTCCCGGTGTGATACCACCGGCGGTTCCGTGTCCACCGATAGAAGCTCTTCAAACAGCTGAGGGAAGAGTCGCTAATTGGAATGAGTCCACACGGCTCTCATGTCCCTTTGTGCACTCTAACGGGGACAGAACGCAGCGGAAAAGACGCAATTCGGTTGAAATAATGCAGCCGAACTGAAGAGGGATTCGTGATCACTTTAAAATCGGTTCCCAGCGCGTGATGTTCATCTTTAAACGGCGCCGAACGCGGTTTCGCTGTTCCGAGTTCAGGAGTTCGGCGGACGAAGCGGCGACAGGAACAGCCATCTTACCATGTCGTACACGTTCAGGATGATCGGCTCGTTCGCCATCGTCAGGCGGTGCCCCGCGGGGGGCCCCCGCTAACCCGGTACGTCCCTTCTCCTCTGCGGGCCTCCCCCCGGAGCTCTGCCCCGGCTCCCCCCCGCTCCCCCCCCCCGGGACACGGAGCAGCGGCGGCCCGTCGAGCCCCCTCGTCCCGTTGGACGAACCCGAACGGCCGCCGAGGTCGAAGCGAAGAGACGCGGACTTCACCGAGGACACGAACGTCTTCCGGGACCAATTTACTCGGGGAAATGGCCACGTCATCCTCCCATGGTGCCGGTTTGGCGGCGCGGTAACACTTACGGCTCCGGGATCGGCTACCGGCGGCGGGGAGTGGGCGAGCGGGGCGATGGATCCGCACTCGATTAGTCAGACCTGGACGCCCCGCGGCGTTGTGGGGGATGTAGTCTGAGTTTTCTCCTGCTGCGGTTAGTGCGCGCGTGTCCCTGGACTGGTTGTAATGGTTTGGACCGCTGGGGGGGACGTGAGGGACGTCTTTAAATGCAGAAACTGCATTTTATCAAAAGTAAAAACCCACAACTACACAAAACGTCCCTTGATACTTAAATGACAGTATGTTTGCAGTGTTCCAGGTTTAGACAATAACGCCAGGTTCAACATTCTTCTTTATTAGTCAGATTTAAGAGCAGCATCGGTTCGGTCCAGTTAACCGTGTCAGTGGAAATACTCTGAATAAAGTCTTTACTCAATGATTCTTTCTGCTGTCGATAGTGACTCTTGCTGCTGCTCTTCTCCTCACGGCCACCAGACTCCATCAATTTAACCTGCGGCAACACAGGAGCCTCCACACAAGTCCACTTTAACCCGCTTCAGATGCATATAGACACATATACAACAGATCATATAGAACACATCATGTAGCGTGATCCATTACGTCACACCTGCACATGAACTTCAGGTTTTCATTCGACCAGAAGAACGAAGACTTGCTCCTCAATTTAAACCATCATGCTCATTTTCTTCGGTTGTTCTCTCAGAAATTGAAGCAGAGTAAATCGCCAATATCCACGAGAGCTTCTCCAATCCCAACTCCTCACGAGCCGTCCCGCTGGGTCTCCTCCAGCAGCTCCTCCAGCGCCTCCTGGTTGGAGAACTCCTGCAGCCAGGAGTTCATCTGGTCCAGGAGGTCCTCCCCCAGCAGGAAGCTCCTGACGTCGTGCACCGTGGTGCCGAGGCGGTGGTCCGTCACACGGTCCTTGGAGAAGTTGTAGGTCCGGATCTTCTCTGATCGGCCCTTGGTGCCGATCTGGAGGGGGCGTAGAAGATAAGATCATATTATTATACGTCATATTAAATGCCTCCACCTGCACTTAATATGGTATTGAAGGCCTCCACATGGACTGAATATGGTATTGAAGGCCTCCACCTGCACTTGATATGGTATTGAAGGCCTCCACCTGCACTTTCCGCTGGTTGTAGCGCCGGCTGGTCTCCTCCTCCAGCTTCCTGCTGTACAGCTTAGCTCTCAGAGCCTTCATGGCCTTCTCCTTGTTCTTTATCTGGGAGCGTTCCTGCTGGCACTCTGCCACCACGCCTACAACACACACACAGGTATCAGAGCGCTGCTCGTGGGGGCAGGTGGACCCCCCCTCCCTGAAGAGAAGGCGGGACCTGTTGGCAGGTGGAGGATCCGCACGGCGCTGTCGGTGGTGTTGACGTGCTGCCCCCCGGCTCCGCTCGCCCTCTTGGTTTCTATCCTCAGGTCTTTGGAGTTGATGGTGAAGGAGATCTGAGAGGAGCACCAACACCTGGATGAACATCTGGATGAACACGGGACGAGCAGCAGGACCAAGCTGCTAAACGACTCTGGTTGTATGAGTGATGTTTCAACGCATTAAAAGGAACATTTCAACCCTTAAATAGCGCTGTGTTCATCAGGGACCCTCCTCAGGGTTTCTACTCACAGAACCATCAGTCCACTTGTGGTCTCCTTGTCCTACGTTACGTTACTGTGGTGGTTCCACCAGGAAACGTTCTGGTTTACACCTGCTTTTAAGAGGCGGAGCGAGGCGCTTCCACGAAACGAGCGCTTTGTGTGCATGGTTAGGATACATAATTAGACGCACTCTACGCATCCCATCTCTTTATGGGAACGTTGACCTCCGTGCGGCTTGTTTGTACTCAAGCTTTAACGCGCACGCTGCGAAACAAATACGCCTGAAGAGGCGCAAAAGCGTATGTGAGGCCCTCAGTGAGGAGCCTGGCTAAATAAAGGTCTAATACAAATAAAACGTGCCTCCAACTACAAAGAAGTCAGGAGGAGGAAAAGAGGACGCCTGGTTAAATAAAAGGTCAAAAGGAAACAAGCTGTCCTCCTAGCGCCTTTGTTGTTGTTGTTGTTATTGTCGACTCCTACCTCGGTGGGTTGAGGCAGCACCGCCACCGTCATGGTGCTGGTGTGCATCCGGCCCTGCTTCTCCGTCCGGGGAACCCTCTGAACCCGATGGACTCCGGCCTCGAACTTCATCCTCTTGTAACTGTGAGGGCCGCTGACGCTGGCGGAGGCGTGACGCAGTCCCCCTGAGCACGGCACGGAGAGGTCAAGGGTCAGCCAGGTGACGTTTCTTCACAGCGTCTCATCTGAAGCCTTTCATTTGTGATTTGGTCATCACTTTATGTTCTATCACAGACCTGTCAATCAGCGTGTAGCCCCGCCCTTAAGCCCACCCCCCTCCTTTATGGTCATTTCCTCATAGACGTCTATGGGAGCAGAGGAGTCGCCCCCTGCTGGTCACTACAGAGAAGTAGAGTCATTTCCTCATAGACGTCTATGGGAGCAGAGGAGTCGCCCCCTGCTGGTCACTACAGAGAAGTAGAGTCATTTCCTCATAGACGTCTATGGGAGCAGAGGAGTC